ATATATATATAATATTAAAATAACGGTTATCTCACTACTACAATCTCGTTATCCCACTTTTGGAAATGACTACTCCACTATCCAATATTGACTACTATAATTAACACATTATTTTTAAAGAACTTTGCATTCATATGATCCGCACATTATTTTAAAGAGCCTTGCATTCCTTGATTTCCAAAAGATCCATATGGTGACAGTAAATCGGATTTTATTAAAATTTAAAATATATATCAAGAACAGTTAAGTATTTTTAATTTCTATACTCAACATTATAAATGTTTGTTTTTATATATACAAAATTTATAATAAATAATTTTTTTAGTATATAATTATTTTTTAAATTTATAATTACTAATTTAAATTACTAGATAAAATTATTTTCAACAATAATAATTTTAGAAAATAACCAAATATTATTTAGAGATAAAATCAAATGTAGATATACATACATATTTTTCCCTGTATAATAATAATAATAATAATAAAATTAAAACTTAATTCATTATACATACTAAATTTATTAATGAAAATATTACTAATTTCTAGATCTAATCAAAAGATTTGAGAGTTTGAAATATGAAGAAGCTGGTCTAGTAGAATTCAGAGGTTTCCTTGCTTAAGTTAGGATATCATTTTCACTTCCTAATTCTTTTTTTATGGTAAAATATATTTTGTCCTTTATTTTTTTTATATTTATTTTATCCTTTATTTTTAAAATGCTTATTTTAATACTTTTTCTTTTTAATTTTTTACTAATTCAAAAGATTTGAAAATTGGGATAATAGTTTTTTTTTAATTATATTATTTTATAATTTTTATAAGATATATTCTTCATAAACTTTCATTATATTTATATTTCTTTTGAATTCAAAACATCAGTTGTGTTTGATATTTTTCATACAATAAAATTTAATATTATAAATTTTAAATTTTGAATCAATACTAATTCAAAAGATTTGAAAATTGGGATAACAGTTTTTTTTTTACTAAAACCCTATTTTGGTCCCTTATATTAATTGTTTGTTTCAGTTTAGTCCTACTTTTATTTTTTGTTTTAATTTGGTCCCAAACTAATTATTTGGTTTCAATTTAGTCCCAAATTAATTAATTGGCTTCAATGTGGGACTTCCGTCCAAATTATTTAAACGGAGTTAACTTTTGGCCACGTGGATGCCACGTAGATGCATACATGGGTTCCACGTGGATGTTACGTGAATGACAATTTTTTTGAAAACACTTGGACCCAGAACGGCCCGTTCTGAAACCAGAACGGACCGTTCTGGTTGCACTTTTAGTGTGTCAATTTTGCAACTGAAACGGGTCGTTCCAGATGCAAAAGTTAACACACCACCAGTGTAGCAGAACGGGCCATTCTGGATTCAGAACGGGCCGTTCTGGATTCAGAACGGCCCGTTCCAAAACTGAGAATATAATATTCTTGACTTAATTGTGTTTTTGATCGCTCAAGTATTATAATTATGCAATTTTGATCTCACAATTTTTAATTGAACAATTTTAATTTCTCACAATTTTAAAAGATTATAGTTGTGTAATTTTAGTCTAGGGATGGCAATGGGGCCCCATGGGGGCGGGTAATAGTAAACTCGCCCCCGTCCCGCTGAATAAAAATTGGCCCCATACCCACTCCATATTCGCGCGGGTATCCATGAATTTCTTGAATACCCACGGATATCCACGGATATTCATGGATATTTATAAAATTTTTAAGAAATTAAAAAAATTATATTATAAATAATTTTAAGTTTATATTTTAATGTCATTGAAATATTAAAAATAAAAATTCAATGTTAATTTTGAACTTTTATTTAACGTTAATTTTGTTGAAATAATAATAAAAATTCAAGATAATCAATAACTTAAAATACATCAATCTCACAAGTAAGTTAAAGTCTCATCACAAAGCTACAATAATTCAATCTCATAATTCTAAATGAAAGTAAATAACTTAAAATACATAAATCTTATTGGTCCAATCAAAGCTAAAAAATTAATTAAATTAAATCTAACATAATTCTATAACATGCTTAACACATGTCGGTAACTTCATCAACCTCACTTTTGTAAGAAAATAAGATGAGAGAGTGTAGTTTTAGGGTTATGTGGTACATGGATAATTAGGATATTTAAGAAATAATATTAAACAGGTACCCGCGGGTATGGATATCATCATACCCGCCCCCGCCCCATTTATAAACGGGTAAAAAATTATCCGTCCCCATTATCCGCGGGTACCCAATTAGCCTATCC